ATTTATAACTAGGATTACATGATTATGTTTGGCAGGTAAAAATATATAGTTTGAACTACACCAACTTATATATACTTCATGCATAGTGATATGCACTGAAAAACAAAATATGCTTTAAACAACATTTCTGTCATTTTTGACATAGCCCATTAATTGAAAGATTAAAATCCAACTAAAATAATCCAAAACCAAACTAAACCATAAACCCAACCTGAAAACTAAACCTTGCTCAACCGAATACAATTTTAACCAATTTGAAGGTTTAATCCGAAAACCAATTGAAAGTATCCAAAAGATTATATATCTACTAGAAAACAAGGCCTCTTCGACAAAATTTCCGTCGGCCATTGAATAGTCACAAATTTCCGATGGTTTTCCGACAATATTCCGACGGATTTTGAATGGTCGGAAATTTCTGACGGAATCCAACCAAATATAATCCGTTGGATTTCTGCCCAAAATATATCCATCACTATAGTCGTTTAAAATTTGGTAACATGTCCAAAATATTTCAAAAATTGAAAACTTTCTTACTGATTTCCCACAAAAAAATATTTGTTAAATAGTGACGTTTGAACTAGAATGGTGCAAGTTTTTTTTTTAGAACTGGATGTTTACAGAAAGACATCAACAAGACTAAAATTTGTCCAATCCCCAAGAAACTCAAGGCAATGAGACTTTTAGAGTATTGAAGAAGATCCTCATGCCAACAAAAAAATTGTCTAATCCCCAAGTGCCAATTAGTTTGTGCAATGTCATCTACAAGATTACTACAAATGTTTTAACTAGACAACTGAAGAAGATCCTCATGCCTACAACTGAAACCAAAGCAGCTTTTGTCGAGGGTCAAGTGATCTCTAATAATATATTAATTGCTCGTGAGCTTCTCCATGCTTTGAGGTCACCTACTAAGTATTTTGAAGAGTTTTGTTGTGATTCTTTGCCTCTTTCTGTCAGTCTTGTCTAATGCTTTGTTCTTTGTGTTCTTAACTTGCAGTAGAAGAAACAGAGAGAGAAGGAGAAGATGAACAGAGATGAGAAAAGAGTCGACACAGAGATTTACAAGTTCCCAAGGTCAAGGTGACCAAGGTACGTCTTGGTGAGCTAACTAACCAGCTCACAAGGTTTTATAGAACGTTTAAAACCGAGTACAAGAAACCAGACAACAGACCACAGAGAAGATTACACAACCGAGATAAAGAAGAAGATGAGTTCTTGCTTCTTTCTCTGAATCTCTCAAACTATTGCTGCTTGCTACTCACGCTCAATTTCTTACTCATTGTCACCATCCTCTGCTTACCTCTTTATACTACTCAGGGACGCTCCTCTCACAGCTCATACTTTTAACCTGGCGTAACAAACCTTATCACCAATTGATGCGCTGTACCCGTACATGAGAGTGAAGACAAAGGCAGAGGGACGACAGTGACTTCAGACCGTTATCGAGTTACCTTTTGCTGTTGGGCCTGTTTCCAGACATAGCTCAGGCCCATCTTCAGCAACACTCTGGCCCATGGAGGAAACTGGATCGTAGAACTCACATTCTCCACCTCGATCCGCTTTTCCGACATTACCCGAGAAAACGATTCACCTCGTCTTCTCCCTTGCTGTTCCGACTATTACTCCGCCGGAACCCTAGCTCAAATCTGAGCTAGATTCAGTGTCTGAGAACTCTCATATCACTCCTCCCATTTTCGAACTTCTTCACTGGCACCGATTTGGTAAGGATGTCAGCTGGATTGATCTGCGTGTCAATCTTCGTCACAATCAGATCTCCTTATGCTATCACGTCTCTGATGAAGTGGTATCGAGTCTGAATGTGCTTCGTTCTGTCATGGAAGACGTTGTTCTTTGCCAAACAAATGGCGCTCTGCGAATCGCAAAAAATTTCAGCAGTCTTTTGGACAAAACCGAGCTCAGTGGTAATCCTTTTAAGCCATAGAGCTTCCTTAGTTGCTTCTGACACCGCCATATATTCCGCCTCTGTTGACGATACTGCGGTGATGTGTTGCAGCCCCGACCTCCAGCTAACTGTGTTTCCCCCAACTTGGAACAAGTACCCGGTTATAGATCTTCTCCGATCCAGGTCAGATGCATAGTCACTGTCGCAATATCCTTTTACTTCGAACTTGTCTGACTTCTTGAATGTCAAATGACAATTCGAGCTTCCTTTTAGGTATCTCAATACCCAATTAACTGCATTCCAATGTTCTTTGTTAGGTGAGCTCATGTAACGACTTACCAGCCCGACGGCGTGAGCAATGTCAGGTCTCGAACCAACCATTGCGTACATGAGGCTTCCAACTGCACTGGAGTAAGGTATGTCTCTCATTTCAGACTCTGTCTTAGCCTTGTCTTCTTGTTTTGTGCTTGAGAGCTTGAACTGGCACCCCATTGGTGTATGTACTGGTTTTGAGTCAGTCATACCAAAGTTTCTTAAAACTTTCTCAATGTAGGCTTCTTGAGATAGAATTAGAGTACCTTGACTTCTGTCTCTAATAATATCCATACCCAGAATCCTTCTAGCCGGTCCCAAATCCTTCATCTCAAATTCTCTGTTGAGAGTTGCCTTTACTTTCTCCACTTCTTTCAAGTCTTTTGCAGCCACTAACATGTCGTCTACATAGAGTAGTAAGTAGACGTACTTCCCTTCACCATAACCTCTGAAATATACACAGTGATTATATTCACTTCTTGTGAACCCTTGAGCCTTCATGAACTTATCAAACTTCAAATTCCATTGCCTTGGAGATTGTTTTAGACCGTATAGGGACTTTTGGAGCAAGCATACTTTGTCTCCTTTTGAGTAACCTTCAGGCTGTTCCATGAGGATTCTTTCTTCAAGATCCCCATTTAGAAAAGCTGTCTTAACGTCTAGCTGCTCAAGCTCAAGGTCCAACTGCACTACCATGGATAGCATCAGTCTTATAGTGGCATGTCTTACCACTGGAGCAAAGACTTCATTGTAATCGATCCCTTCCACCTGAGCATACCCCTTTGCAACTAATCTTGCCTTAAACCTTGGTTTTTCATCTCCCATTATTCCTGGTTTCAGCTTGAATACCCACTTGCACCCAATTACTTTCTGTCCCTCTGGCCTTTCTATTAACTTCCAAGTCTGATTTTTCTCGTGTGATGCCATCTCTTCTTCTGTTGCTCCTTCCCATTTCAGTTTATCTTTACTACTCATAGCTTCCTGAAATGTCCAAGGTTCCTCTATTTCAACTAACTCAGACATGGTTAGAGCGTATGCTGCAACATCACCATCATCAAATCTGCTTGGCGGCTTGATAGTTCTTCTTACTCTATCCCTTGTTAGGAGATAGTTTCCAAGATCAGTAGGTGGACTTCTAGATTCAGACCTTTGGTCTGTGTCCTCTTCAGGTTCTACATCCGTGAACACTCCACCTCCAGATGAAGACTCTCCGATCTCTGTAACTTCTTCTGGTAGGAACACTTCTACTATCTCTTTTCCCTTAGAGTTAGCAAACTTATCAGAAGTCTGAACATTTGTTGAAATGTTCTTGTAGAGAGTATCCTCACAAAATGAGACATCTCTACTTATGACACATTTCTTCTCTTCATAGTTCCATATCTTGTAGCCTTTAACACCCTGCGGATAACCCAAGAAAATTCCCTTTTTGGCTCTGGGTTTCAATTTTCCTTGATCCACATGGTAGTAAACCAGGCAACCAAACCTCCTCATATGGTCATATTCCGGTTTCGATCCTGTCCAAACTTGTTCTGGAACTTCGAAGCCTAGAGGCGTAGATGGAGTCCTATTAATCATGTAAACCGCTGTTGTTGTTGCCTCTGCCCAGAAAACTTCCCCCAGACCTGTCTCACTCAGTAAACTTCTTACTTTCTCCAGGATAGTTCTGTTTAACCTTTCAGCAATTCCATTTTGCTGCGGAGTATAAGGACATGTCTTGTGCCTCACTATTCCATGAGCTTTACAGTGATCTTCAAACACTCTGTTGCAGTACTCAAGACCATTGTCTGTCCTTAGTGTCTTCAGTTTCTTTCCACTTTGATTTTCCATAAACACTTTCCACTCAATGAACTTATTGAAAGCCTCATCCTTGGTTTTGAGAAAATAAACCCATACTTTCCTTGAGTAGTCATCTACAAAGGAAATGTAATACTGACATCTTGACAAGCTTGGAGTCACATTTGGAGATCCCCAAAGATCAGAATGAACATATTCCAAAGGTTCCTTTGAAGTATGTTTTCCGGTTTTGAAAGATGACTTGTGGAACTTTCCCATGACACAATGCTCACAGTCTTGTAGCTCTGAGATATCTTCAGCTTTAATCATCTCCTTCTTAGCTAGTAACTGTAAGTTTTTCTCACTCATATGTCCCAACCTACTATGCCATAGCATCATCTTATTCCCCTCTCTAATAGCTGTGTTTGCTTGCTCCACCACTGGTTTTCCATCAAGTATATAGAGGGTGCCTTTATAATCGCCTGCTAGAGCTTCCCTATCATTGAAGAAAACCCTTAATCTAGAATCCTTTCCTTGGAACCAGCAGCCTTGTGATTCTAGCTGTCCCAGGGATATCAAGTTTCTTTTAGCAGTAGCTGAATATCTTACTTTTGTTAATATGACTACGGAATTGTCATAATTAACAATCTTCACCTTCCCTATAGCTGTGATCTCACAGTAGGTATCATTTCCCATAAGAATCTTCCCACCATTTATCTCTTGTATATCAAACATGAGATCCTTTCTGTATGTTAAATGATATGAACACCCGGAGTCAAGTACCCAACCATTTCTTGTATGTGTTTCTGAAGCAGTCAACAACATTGGTTCAGCATCAATGCCTTGACCAACACTGGCCTCTGCACCACTGTATTGTCCTTTCTTTGGACAATCCTTTTTAAAGTGACCTTCTCCTCCACATATCCAGCACACAACCTCCTTAGTCTTTGCCTTTTCCTTCCCTTTATTGGCTTGTTTAGCTTTTGGGTTTGCCTTCTTTTCAAACTTGGGCTTGTGTTGAATAAAGAGACCTTCACCATTTGTTTTGGTGAGGTAGTTGCCACTCTGCTTCAACTCCGTTTCCAGAGAGTAAGAGGACTGAACAATCTCCTTCATGGTTATTGTCTCCTTTCCTCCTCTATACTTCAGCGTGTGAACAAGCTGAGCAAACTGTGAAGGCAAACTGTTCAAGAGAATCACAGCTTGATCTTCGTCACTTACTTCCACATCAAGACTGACTAAATCTGAGACAAGTTTATTGAAAACATCCAAGTTCTTATCTAGATTTTTGTCTTCTTCCATCTTGAAGCTATAGAACCTCTGCTTGAGATAAAACCGGTTAGGCACAGACTTATCCTGATATTGAGCTTCCAAAGCGTCCCACATGCCTTGAGCAGTTTTGTTTTTCATAACCTTTCTCAACACCAAATCTGTTACACTCATTCCAAGCAGATTTCTAACCCTCCTGTCCTTTGCTATCCATTTCGGATCTGACTCATCAACCTTCTCATCATCATCAGACGCAGATGTTTCCTCAGTCTTTAAAACTGAATCCAACCCAAGTATCTCTAGTTGAGCTAACACCCTATGCTTCCAAATAGAAAAATCCCCTTCACCATCAAACTTATCTACCTCAAACTTTCCCCGAGTAGGTTCCATTACTACTTTCTAGAGCTAGATCTGATCAGAATCTAGCAAGAGAGAGGAGTAAGACTGAAAGAACACCACTTACTCAGAGTAACCACCAAGCTTGTAGAACAGAACCAACCCGTAGACAACCAGCTTCTTTTACTCTGATATTTTCCTGAAGGAGCTCCACCTAGAACCAGAAACCAAGCAAAAAAATAACCTTTTTACTTGCTGGATCTAGATCTTCAAAAATATCTAAGAAAGACTGAAACTTTAAGAGGAAAGAAACCACCTTTATCGTTTTCGACGAGGCTCTGATACCATTTGTTGTGATTCTTTGCCTCTTTCTGTCAGTCTTGTCTAATGCTTTGTTCTTTGTGTTCTTAACTTGCAGTAGAAGAAACAGAGAGAGAAGGAGAAGATGAACAGAGATGAGAAAAGAGTCGACACAGAGATTTACAAGTTCCCAAGGTCAAGGTGACCAAGGTACGTCTTGGTGAGCTAACTAACCAGCTCACAAGGTTTTATAGAACGTTTAAAACCGAGTACAAGAAACCAGACAACAGACCACAGAGAAGATTACACAACCGAGATAAAGAAGAAGATGAGTTCTTGCTTCTTTCTCTGAATCTCTCAAACTATTGCTGCTTGCTACTCACGCTCAATTTCTTACTCATTGTCACCATCCTCTGCTTACCTCTTTATACTACTCAGGGATGCTCCTCTCACAGCTCATACTTTTAACCTGGCGTAACAAACCTTATCACCAATTGATGCGCTGTACCCGTACATGAGAGTGAAGACAAAGGCAGAGGGACGACAGTGACTTCAGACCGTTATCGAGTTACCTTTTGCTGTTGGGCCTGTTTCCAGACATAGCTCAGGCCCATCTTCAGCAACACTCTGGCCCATGGAGGAAACTGGATCGTAGAACTCACATGTGGCAATCAAGACAAATATCTCAAATACATATGACAAAGTTGAATGGTATTTTCTAGAGGCTGCTTTAGGAGTCCGGATTTTTCTAACAAATAGTCTAATAATGCATGGAATGTGTGAAGACTGTAAGTTATCGGGTCCTCATTAATAGTGCACACTATGGAGAAAGTAAACCTATAAAAGGACTGAGACAAGCTGATCCTCTATCTCCTATTTCCTTGTGATATGAATGGATATGTTGGTAAGAATGCTCCAAAAAACTAAATAGAAGGGAAATATCACAAGCGTAGAGGTAGTAAGAGGAGCTCCACTTGTCTCTCACTTATTGTTTGTTGATGATACTATATTCTATTGCAAACAGGAAGAAAGAGAGAATTAAGTTAGATTGTGAGATCATAGAGGAGTTTAATGTAATGCCCCGACTGCAATTTTAATGGGCCCTTCTTCCTCTTTTGGCCCATAGGTCTATCATTGTCTAACGGTCTTCCACTATGTCCGGGAGGTTTTAAAGACTTGTTTACCGATCCTATAAATCACCACATGATCTTTTCCCATGTTTTGTCCTCACTCACACGGTTACGACAACCACTTTCCGGAAGATCACCCATCCTGAAATTGGTCTAGCATAAGCATGTTTAACCGTAGAGTTCTCTCACGATGTTTGACCGAAAAGATAATTACACTTTGATGACATAGATGGCCAAATCACTTCTTTTAACATTTCCGCATGCATAACCATATATCCTGAAAACCGGGGTATTACATATAATCTTGCATCAAGACAAAAAGCCAATTATCAGAATTCCAACATCTACTTTGGAAAGAAGATCCCTAGAAGAAAGAAGATCAAACTAAATTGGGGATAAGTAAAGAAGGAGGAGATGTAGCCTACTTAGGACAGCCTAAAGATTTTGGTAAAATTTATTGTAAACTCCTTATATTGTAGTATCTTAAATAGATATTAATATTGGGTCAAAAAGTCTCTCATGGGAATCTAACTTTCTATCAACTGATGGTAAGGATGTTCTTCTTAAAACAGTATTTATGGCTCTGTAGGTGTGGCTTGCTTCTGGCTCGCCAAAACAGTATGCACTCAAATTGCCTCTATAACGGCTGAATTTTGGTGGAGAAAAAAATTCAAAATCCAAAACAAAGTATTGGAAATCTTGGGGTCAAGTGAGGAAGCCAAAAAATGAAGGTGGTATGGGCTTTAAGGATATTGAAGCTTTCAACTTGGCACTCTTAGGGAAACTAACGGCAGATGATCACTCCAAAGGATATATGTACAATTTTAAAGGAAGATACTTCTTGAAGAGTGACCCATTAACCGCTCCACTTGGATGTAGACCATAAAAATTATTCATGCGACACAGAAACTCCTCAAGGAACCAACTCAGTGGTGGAAAAAGGAGATAGTATATTTATATGGCATGATGTCATAGCTGCCGATGTCATAGCATTTGTGAATTCGCTATCTAATATGTATGATAGCAAATTTTCCGCGCTAACAATGAACATATTTCTTGTAGTGGCACCACAAATGGATGAACAAAATGCCTGCAACTGCTCCACATGTACGTAACCAAGTAAAACGTCAATACTAATATCTTTTATACTCAAATTTGAAAGTGGAGAACCTCTTGATCAATAAATGTAGAGAATGGAATAAAGAGTTGTTATCTGCCTTATTCCCAGTCGAGGTTAGGAGTCTATTAAGAGTATTAAACCAGGAGAAATAGCTAGTGAGGATTATTAAAAATCAGGCCACTACTTAGTCAAATAAGAAAAAAATTGTTAGTTTTCTTTTTTGGTTAAGAAAAATAAAAGTTAAAAAGCTTTAGATGTAGACTTATAAATAAGTATATGTAAATATGTTTTTTTTTAGTTTTCCTATTCTTTTAAAGAAAAGAAATTTAAATATTTTCTAACACATGTCAACATCTAATCGATATATTTGACACTTGTCGCGATCACGTGAGGTATCAACTTTGAAAATCCAATTTTACAATAAGATATTACAAAATAAGTTTGCACACACCGCTCATACATACAATTGTATTACGTAACTATGTAAACAACTAGGATTTAATCCGTGGTGTACCACGGGGCAAATATTTATTTTTATAAATATATTAGATTTCAACGATTTTATAATTTATTACTAAAGTTATATCATTTAAATTTTAGCATTTTTTAGATTAAACCCGTGGTACATGTATAATCTAGTATTACAATTACATATTTGTAGATACCAAAAACGATTTAACACTATCATATAACTTATCATATATCTCACTAATGCTAATTCCAACCCGCCACACCTTTTAATCAGCAAGTTTGAAAGTTTTTTTTGTCAAGACACCTATTTTGTTTCGTTAAATATTATAATTTTTTATCAAGATCAAATATAAATTTTACAACTAATTGTTTTATTAAAAATCTATAGGTTACATATACTTTATAGATACACATATTTTATAGATACTTAACATTTAAAAGTTTTGGATTAATCTATATATACATTTAGTTAATGAATCTAAGCCTAGGCGTCTCTTCAGTTAATCTAGAATTTAACCCGCGGTATACCGCGGGGCAAAATTGTATTTTATATAATAATTTATAATTTATTGTATTTTTAAATTGATATTATAAAAAAATCTCATTTAATTATTTTATATTATAATTAATATAGTTGAAATATGTGTAATTAATCTTCATTTAATTATGAAGATTTGTAGATGTACAAATGATATAGTGTAATTTTTGCAAGTATTTATAATCATGGACTATTATAATAATTTGATATTATTTATATCAAAACAATTTACCGGCGGTATATTGCGGGTCGATTTTTTAAACTAAATATTTTAAATTTTAAGTTATATTTTTTTTGTTAATATTGTTTGGTTTGTTTAATATTTAAGGTTATATCATTATATTTTTATTTTTAATTCTAGGTTTCACCCGTGGTATACGTTCACGTATTAATATTGACTCAAACCCGACCCACCATATAACTCCGTTTTGTATTCAGAATCATTTTGATCCTTTTTATAGTATGACTCTGAACCATTGTCCAAACTTTTAAGCAATATGGGACATTGTACACATACTTTTTCTTCATCGATTGAGTAATATATGTCCGTTTTTAAAATTTTGAATCACATTATATGCAGAAAAATCTATTATTTTATTAATTATTTGTATTTTATATAAATTCAAAATAAATTACTATAAGATCATATAAAAGTGAAAGAAGAATTATATATTAATGTTTAAATTTGGTAGAGATGTTTTAGGAAAATTTAGAAATAAAATCGATTTGTTACCATATTTGGAAGCCAGAGTTTCTAAAAGATTTTTTGAAAAGATTTTGTAATATAAAATAATATATAAACATTTATGACAATGGCATTCTATTGTAAATACTTCTCAACTTCAGGATTTATTTGCTAAATGTACTTCTCAACCGTATTGGATTAATATATATATATTTGGAGTACATTTAGCAAATAAATCCTAGCTTTCACTACTATTTACAATGGAATGCCACTGAAGTTAATTCTTAAGATTTGCAAAATTAAATAAAAGATATTAATAAACGATTTTCGATCCTAAAAGCTTGCTTAAGTCTGATGTTTTCTTTTTTTTGGTTAACGATTTTAAAGCTACGTTCCTATAATCTCATATTTTTTGTTATGATTTTAAGGAATCTATCAATCTAATTAGTTTAAGAAATTTCTATAAAAAATATAGGGAAAATTAGAAATAAAGGACAAATAATTAAACTATTGTCCATCTATGCATTCTATATTCATGATTGGTCATATATACTTTAATATTGGTCATATATGATATCATATAATTAAAATCCCAATATGCCTCCAGTCTTTTAAAATCTTACTAAATTATTAAAAAAATTCAAAATTAAATTGATTTCTTTCTAAAAACAATTTGGAAAAAATATAGGACAAAATCAATATTTATTTACATTCCATTATTTGTTTTGCCGTAGATAATTTCATATCTTCTTCTTCTTTGATTCTCTTGCTCATCAAAGTTAAGCTTTCGTAATTGTTCTCTCCTATCTAATAACGCCATATTAAATAACTTTTTTTTTCTTTTTCTTCTTCAATCTCTCTCTCTATCTCCCTCCCTTGATTTCAATTTCGTAATGGAGCGCAACTGTAATTTTCCGGGTTTTGAGACAAGAAATTAAGCGTAATCTATAGGAAAAAGTGTGAAGTATAACGAAAAATTCTAATTTGTGTTATAATTTTTTCACTTAGGTATAAATAATTTTAAAGTATTCAAAATTCAACTAATTTTCCGGGTTTTGAGACAAGAAATTAAGCGTAATCTATAGGAAAAAGTATGAAGTATAAAGAAAAATTCTAATTTGTGTTATAATTTATTCACTTAGGTATAAAGAATTTTAAAGTATTCAAAATTCAACTAATTTTCCGGGTTTTGAGACAAGAAATTAAGCGTAATCTATAGGAAAAAGTGTGAAGTATAAAGAAAAATTCTAATTTGTGTTATAATTTATTCACTTAGGTATAAAGAATTTTAAAGTATTAAGAATTCAACTTCTGTAATTTGCAGATGTAATCAAATTAACTATATTCAATTTCCATATTTTAAGATTTTTTTTTTTAAAATCTAAATTAGCTAGAATGTACTTTCTAATTTTTATAGAATAAAAAAAATCTTAAGAATATGTTTTCTAACATTCTTAGAACATGAGTAAATGTTAGAAAACATATTCTAATTTTCGGAACAAAGTATAGAATATGTATTCTAAAAGTCGTAGAAACTAGTATTCTAAATACCGTAGAACAGAAATGACTTCTAAATTTTGTAGAACATGTAGAGTGTGTAGAATACATAATCTAAATTTGTAGAACATGTAGAGTGTATAGAATATACATTCTAATTTCAGAAGACATATTTTAAATTTTATAGATCAAATATTATCCATCTAAAACGAAAACAAAACAATATATTTTTGACATTTTATATATCTTCATGTCTTCTTCATCATTTTAATACATATTTTTCTTAATTATTTTTGAAACAATTGGTTCAATCTTATGCAAGGGGTAGTTTAGGAATAATTGATATTTGTTCATAGAATTCATATATGGACAAGGGAGACTCACAAAAATGCCACTTTTTCAATACCCCTTTTCAAAAATGCCCCTTTTGGCTGTCCATTTTTAAAAATATCCCTTTTTATGTACAAAATGACTAAATTACCCTTCTTTTAATAAAATATATCACAAATATATAAGAAAATATAACAAAATTAGGTCCACAAAATACAAAATATTTTTTGGCGGGAAAATTGATCCCGCAATTTTTCCCGCCAAAACACTTGTAAAAACTTGTAAAACCTTTAAAATACCTTGTAAAATTTTCCCGTAAAATTTTTTCCCGCCAAAAAATTTTTTTTTGCGGGAAAAGTGATTCCGTATTTTTTTTGGCGTTAAATTTTCCCGCCAAAAATTTACAAGGTATTTTAAAGGTTTTTTACAGGGTATTTATAAGGTTTTACAATGTATTTTAAAAGGTTTTACAACGTATTTATAAGGTATTTATAAGATATTATAAGATTTTACAAGCTATTTTATAAGGTTTTACAAGTTATAAGGTTTTACAAGTTTTTTATAAGGTTTTACAAGTTATAAAACCTTATAAGTACCTTGTAAAACCTTTTAAAATACATTGTAAAACCTTACAAAAACACTTGTAAATACTCTGTAAAACCTTTAAAATACCTTGTAAATTTTTCCCGCCAAAAATTTTCCCGCCAAAAAAATTTCGCCAAAAAAATTGCGGAATCACTTTTTCCGCAAAAAAAAATTTTTGGCGGGAAAAATTTTTACGGGAAAATTTTACAAGGTATTTTAAAGGTTTTTACAAGTGTTTTGGCGGGAAAATTACGGGATCACTTTTCCCGCCAAAAAATATTTTGTATTTTGTGGACCTAATTTTGTTTCAAATAAGGGTAAAATGGTCATTAAAAATTAAAAGAGGGCAAACTTGAAAATGGACTCTCAAAGGGGGCATTTTTGAAAAGGGGTATTGAAAAAGGGGCATTTTTAACAATTTCTCTATGGACAAATACTTAAATATTTATCTTTTATTTCCAATTTTCCCAAAAAAATATGAATCTATCGTAACTGTAATTCATAATCTACACTAAACTTAGATTTTAGTTGGTTTTGATTATAACTATAGTAAGCAACATCTGTATATTATACTTTATTATAATAAAACATTAAAATATATGTTTTTTAAAGCAAACTTTTAAATTGGCTCGAATTGTATATATATGTTTTTAAAATAAAAATATAATCAAAAAGAAATATAACAAAATGATGTTCAATTTCACGGGTCGGGGTTATATGGTGGGACGGGTTTTGGTCGATATCAATACGGAACGGTATACGACGGGTGAAATGCTAGAATTAACAATCAGATATAATTATATAATCTTAAACACTAAATAAAACAAATAATATTAACAAAACAAATACAATTTAACATTTAAAAATTTTAGTTATAAAAATCGATCCGAAGTGTACCGCGAAGTAATATAATGAATATCTCGAGTGGGATAATAGATCACTGGTCAATTTACATAAGAATTCATGAACAAATATTTTGAAAACTAACTTTTTAGTTTATTATTCACTTTTAGAGAAAATATAAATGAGACAAAACCAAAAAAAGGCAAACAAACCCCTAAACAAAAAAATATATTCTTAAAAAAAATTATGATATAACCAAGAATGAGAAATAAAATCTAGTCATATGATTTATTGTTAGAATTAAATCGGGTTATTTGTTTTCCTTTTTTGTGGCAATGTTTATTGAGTGTTAAATTTTTTATTTTATTTTTTAAAACTAAATAATTAATGTCAATGGCATGACCACGTAAATACTTAGCAACTCCATGATTTATTTGCTAAGTGTACTCCAAAAATGTATATGGATGTTTTCTAGATTGGCTGATTTGATTCAATCTTCTCGGTAAAAAGTTGTTGAAGAAAAAAAAATATTACCGTCCAAATTTTTTTGTTATTGTCATCACTTTATTTTACGAGATTAATCAAGAAAAAATATTACCGTCCAAATTGGCTTCAGTATGACTGGATTACTTTCTGATCATATTTTCTCTTATTAGATTCTTCCTTGTTTTTACCTTTTTTTGGCAAGGAACAATCTTTTGCATTAAGAGTTTAAGACTATTGTAAGTTCTACAATCTTTTTCATCTAAAATCAAGAAAAGACAAAAAAGAATAGAAAATATCAAAGGGTGTGTCAGGCTGGTAGCAGACATGAGACAACTAGTTACTCTTAGACCATCTCCAACAGTAGTGTCTAAAAGAATGTCTCAAGATTAAAAAAATAAAAAATAATAGAAAATGTAGGAGAGAGGGTAGATACATTTTTGGTTTAAGAAATTCTGAGAAACTGTGTCTCCACTTGTCCTTATATTATTGGCAAATTTCTCCTTTTATTATTTATAATTTAAATAAATAATTTATTTATTATAAAATGATTAAAATAATATTTTTGAGACACCCACAGATGGATGATGGATGATGGATGGAGATGGTCTTAAATGCCAAATATAATCATAATTATATATGGCTGAAAATAATTCAAATTAAGTAATGATTTTAGCCACTTAGATATTTTCATGGTTGATCCAAAACATTTTTAGTAACTATGAAAGAATATTTGTCTATCAAAGAATAAATTCCCAGGTGTTGTCGTTTTAATGGGTTTTATGGTGAATACGCAAAACGAAGGTGGTAGTGGTAACCATTCATGGGGTTGCTTAAGAAACTTGGTAAGAAGGAAACAAGTCGACTCTTCAAATGGCAAAGCAGAGACTCATCATCACCAACAACTCGCCAAAGCTTTGACTTTTCCTCACTTGATTGCCATTGGTACTAATTTCGTTTTAGGAATCTGGGTTTCTTAGAAAGTACATGAATTTGCTTATTATATAATCTGATATTGTGTCTGTGGTATCTGGATTTGTAGATGGTTTTTAAAGATTGAAGCTTTTTTGTGTTTGACTTTTTATTAATCCTCTTTTTTTGTATGTTTACTTATGTATGTATCTTCAAGGATTAAATTTTGGGTCTGTGTTTGTTTTGGCTTTGTTCTTCACTAAACTTTAGAGTGTTTGGTTTCATAATTTTAGGTGTTGGATCAACAATAGGAGCAGGGGTTTATATTCTTGTGGGAACAGTTGCTAGAGAGCATTCAGGACCTGCTCTTGCTTTTTCCTTCCTTATAGCTGGAATTTCCGCTGCGCTTTCTGCGTTTTGTTATGCGGAACTATCTAGTCGTTTTCCCTCAGCTGGGAGTGCCTATCATTATTCTTACATTTGCATTGGTGAAGGGTAACATTTTACTTGCTTATTCAGTTGTTTCTCGGGCTTTCATTCGCCACTGGATTTGGAGATTTTCGAAGTTTACTTGAGGCCTTTGCAGCTTTGCTTATGAATTCTTGGTATTGCAGTGTTGCGTGGTTGATTGGCTGGGCGCTGATTTTGGAATACACTATTGGTGGTGCAACAGTTGCCCGTGGCATATCTCCAAATCTGGTTTGTTTCCCTTTGACTGATTGATTTCTTCCGGTTCTTGAAAGACTGATGGCTTCATCCTTCCATCGCGTACATTCATAGTTGTTTTTTCTTTTCTTAAAGAGTGATTATATATTGTTTTGCTGAAGTGAAGTTTAGAAGTGTTGTTTGCTAACCCATTCGTGTCGTAAAGTTGGTAGGTAGGGATATCCACACAGACTATTTAGCTCTATAAGATCATTATCTTTTTACGTTCTTGTGTTGTTTGTGCAATGAATCTTATTTTAAGGATTCTCGTAAAATATTGATTGGCACTAAAAGATTGAAAGACAAAGGCGACATTTTCTTTTTGAGAAGCTTTGGATATCTTTGTGTTCATCAATTCGTTTTGTTTTTCAAGTTTTTAACATGAACGTGTGGAAATTGTTTTGTTTATCATGTAATGACATTCTAATATAATATGATAGGCAATGATTTTCGGTGGTGAAGATTGTCTTCCTATAATATTAGCTCGTCATCAAATCCCAGGCCTCGATATCGTTGTTGACCCATGTGCAGCGGTACTAGTGTTCATTGTAACAGGGCTCTTGTGCCTTGGAGTAAAGGAGGTATAGATTTCATATTATTTCAATTACGTCGTTTGGACAGACTCAACTGCGCTGAACGGTTTTATTTTTTTTAAGTGAAATATATCTTTTCTGCAGAGCACATTTGCTCAGGGAATTGTAACAACAGTGAATGTCTGTGTCATGCTATTTGTCATAGTAGCTGGTAGTTATCTGTGTTTCAAGACAGGTTGGGTTGGTTATGAACTTCCAACGGGGTAAATCGAACGGTCCTTATGCTACCAGCCTACCACCATCATATTGTAAGGTATAAGCTATATGAATTTGTTTTGTTTTTGTTTCTTAGGTATTTTCCGTACGGGGTTGATGGAATGCTTACTGGATCTGCTACTGTCTTCTTTGCTTACATCGGGTTTGATTCAGTTGCAAGTATGGCAGAGGAGGTCAGTGTCATATATTGTTGCAGTATGATATTTTAACGGCTTTTAAGCACTCGTATATATACTTACATTGCTGTTTCATATGCAGGTGAAAAATCCCCAGCGGGATTTACCGCTCGGTATTGGTCTTTCACTCCTGCTTTGTTGTTTGCTATACATGATGGTGTCTGTAGTTATTGTTGGTTTAGTGCCGTATTATGCTATGGACCCTGACACTCCAATATCATCTGCATTTGCTAGTCACGGAATTCAATGGGCTGCGTAAGTCCGTGAATCGGTTAAGATGCAATACTGTTCATTGACAGGACTTGTTTAGAGTTTGATTTGTTTTTCCCTTCCATTTTCTCTTATAGATATTTGATAACTTTAGGTGCTGTAATGGCTCTCTGTTCTGCTTTAATGGGCTCCATTCTCCCTCAGGTAAACTAGAAACATAATTCAAGTGTTCAGATCTCTAGAATTAAGGATTTAACAATGAGTTGTTTGAAGAAAATATAGACACTATGTGTATTTCTTTTGTACCGTGCTTTCTTTTAAGTAATTGGTGGTTGAAAAAGTGAAAGACCAACTTATTCACCAAAGAGCTTATTCGTTTTTCAGCCGCGGATTCTGATGGCAATGGCAAGGGATGGACTCTTGCCTTCATTTTTCTCAAATGTGAATCAACGCACGCATGTTCCTATTAATGGCACCATAACAACTGGTGTCTGTGCAGCAGTCTTAGCTTTCTTTATGGATGTTTCGCAACTGGCGGGAATGGTAACTAAGACTCATTATGATTCATTGAAATTACCTGGTCCAGTACTTAAAGCACCAGTTAGCCTGTAACTGAATTTGACAAGCTTTAGTTGGTGTAGGTGAGTGTCGGGACACTAGTTGCTTTTACAATGGTTGCAATATCAGTGTTGATAGTCAGATATGTTCCTCCAGATGAGGTACTGATAAGATTGGAACTGGTTAATGTTTTTTTATTCGATTTTACCTTAGACTACATTATAGAATATTCTTGATTAAGGAGAGAAGTCTCTAACTCTCTTCCAATGGCCAAACCAGAATCCCCAACTCCTTTACAATGCTATGCACTAGTGAGTAGTGACTAGACTAACAAGGCTTTTATCAGGTACCTCTTCCTTCATCACTTCAAGAAAACTCATCCAGTCACGTCGGAATTTCCAGTAGTAGTAAACAACCTTTACTTTGCAAAGCTAATGCTTCAATTGTGGATAAGGAAAAAGCTCAAGGAGGTTGTAAGTTACTATTCAATTTTGCAAACAAGGTTATAGCTATTTATTCACATTGGTGCATGAACTTTATATGTTAGCTGATCATCTCTGGTCTTGGTATAAGCAAAATTTCACACCTGTTGTTGATTCTATAGGGGTTCTCAACAAAGAAAACAGAAGGAAACTTGCTGGTTGGAGCATTATGTTCACTTGTATTGGAAACTTCCTTTTAAGCTATGCAGCGTCAAGCTTCCTCTTGCCAGGGTTAGTTCATCAACAGTTTATTTACTTGAGGCTCTGTCTTTTACTGGGTTTCAAAACTTGGGCCTTTTTCTAGAATACTTAGCTCCATTTTATGCAAACTATGATAACAGACTCCTTCGATATTCTCTATGTGGTGTTGGTGGATTGTTACTTCTTGTCGGTTTGATTGTTCTGAGTTGTGTAGATCAGGATGGTGCTAGACACAGTTTTGGGCATTCTGGAGGTACTCATGTCCTTGATTTTCCTAAAATATCAGCCTAATGTTTTATAGTAAGCTACAAACCAGAAAGTTAGAGTTGTAACTTATAACTCTTTTGTTTTACAGGCTTCATTTGCCCGTTTGTTCCGCTTTTGCCTATTGTCTGCATTCTTATCAACATGTATCTCTTGGTAAACCTTGGGTGAGTATAGATCATGACACCAGATTTTTGAATACTAACTGATGAGTTCACTGTAGATATAACATTTGTTTTGCTAATGTTTTAGAGCTGCGACATGGGCTCGTGTATCGGTTTGGCTGGTCATTGGAGTGTTTGTTTACATTTTCTATGGGAGAAGAAACAGCTCTCTTGTGAATGCAGTTTATGTCTCCACTGCTCACGTCCAGGAGATTCGTCGCACTTCTGGACATTCTTTGGCTTAACTCTACATGAAACCATCAATGGAAGCTCAAGGGGAATAGGATAAGTGGGTATTTCCTTTGTAAAACATGTTCAACAAAATCTGTATAATATTATATTTTTGAGATTGGAGTATCCAGTCTTGTTGTAAATAAAAGTTCAATGCCATTGCTCATAGGCATTGTATATTAAAAAAAAAACTTAAGTTGAATATTTGTAAATAAAAGTTCAATGCCACTGTTCAAGAGCCAAGGCTTAAATATTGATAAAAAGAAGAAAAAAAAGAACAAAGCAGAGGCTGCCAAGCTCTTACATAAAGGCCCTTAAAGAAAAAGAAGAAAAGAAAATAAAAAAACATTACAAAGAGGCAATACTTTCAACATGTTCTGGTGAGATAGAGACGCACATATTGTGTCTGAGTCCATATCGGCGCCAAAACTCTTTATCGTCTGCAATTCCATGGAGGCAAACTCTTCTGATGTCTTTTGTTTCTACATTGTAGTAGAAAATGAAGAAGGGTTGAACAGTGGGTGGGAGAGTCTTTGGGGCAAAAATGATTTCCCCAGCCTTGTTGGTGCCCGGGGAAGTCATATTGACCAAAGAGAAGGGAAGCTCAAATGTTTGCTTGGACCAATCATGTTTGTTGACATCTTCTAATATCCATAAATCAAAAATTTGGAAAGGAGCATATGGGTTTATTGCAATCGAAGCTAACTTCCCTTTGTAATCTATCAATATTGATTCACGCTCCTGAACCACAACAACCCTAGGCGCTTTGATAAAACTTAGGCTCTCATATCTAACATCAAAACACACAATCACCGGATCCATTCTTAGTCTAGGGGCCCAAGCACCATGATAGATGGAACCATTGATGTAAAGTCCCTTGGTTACAGGGTAATAAGGAGCGGTAGTAACCTGATTGCGTGATTCTTCTCCTCCTCCTCCAAGTGTTATAACCTCGTGCACTAGAAAACCAAGATACATGTCAGGAGACGACACCAGATTCAACACTTTGAATTGTTCACCAACAGGATCATATCCCAAGGAAGCGCGGGGTCCTTTAATGGGTAAGGTAATGACTTGCCTCGTGCTGGGGTTACATACAATGAACTGAAGGCCATTACAACAACTGACAAAGCCGTGGATGGAAGGGCATTTGGAGCGGTAATCCATGGTCACAACAGGTATTGTAATGTCAAGCTTGGCAACTAAAGAAGAAGATTTCTCTTCCTCGTACGAAGAGGAGAAGATGAACAAACGCCTGGCATCATCCTCGGCGAATAAACCGTTACTGAAAGTGACTGTAAAACGCGATCGCGTCGAGGACAAAGCATAGTAGGAATCCACGAATCTCTGGCTTCGGATGATGAAAGACCACATCTTGGACACGCATTGGAACTTCATCAGAGACTTTGCCGGCAATCTAGTCAGTATCTCCACCTCTAGATCGATGATAACGAAAACAGAGTGAATAGATGAAATAAGAACAGAGTAACGAAACAGAGTATTTCGATTAATATGATAACTTGATACAACGTTCATAAAACGCGATATCAACTTCTCACCTGCAAGAGTCTCGATGAGAGAAGCTCCGGCAAAACGATGAGGAAAAGTTCTAGAAGTTTCCAGAGAGGATAACAACCAGAAATATTAGCGTAAAAAGCATGAGCATAACATGTTGCTCTTATATACTAAAAAGGTGGTGAAAGTAAACGTTAACAACGTTAGTAACGATCTCCGTTAACGCCAAGTTGCATTTGCCAGCTCATAAACACACACGTGCCCTTCTTCTTATCCCCGACTTCACATGTGCGAGCTGACCTTCTAGAACGCTATATCAAAGCTCCCCTGTTCGAAGAACCTTGACCACAAGGTTCAAAAGAAGGAAATTTCTTCTGCAAGTCAAAGAGATATTCCCAAGTAGCTTCCTCGACTGATTCATTAGTCCATTGTACCAATACCATTGTTGCAGCCCTGCCTTGACGCTTTACCATCTTACGTTCCAGAATGCACGCAGGTTCCTTAATAAGCACATCAGAGATAATAGATGGCAGCTGAGTCGAAGTGTGCACATTACCTACTGCTGCTTTAAGTTGAGAAACATGAAACACGGGATGAATCAATGATCCTTGAGGCAGCAGTAACTTGTAAGCGACCTTACCACAACGATCAGCAACTTTATAAGGACCATAGTACTTTGGAGCTAGCTTCTGGTTAGACCTCACCACTACGGAGCCCTGTCTGTAAGGCTGGAGCTTAACAAAAACCATATCACCAATGTTGAAAGAACGTTCTGTTCTGTGAGAGTCTGCAAACTGTTTCATACGATGCTGCGCCCGAAGGAGATGAAACTTCAGGACCAAAAGCATGTTCTCCCGCTCCTGCAAACTCCTAGCCACCACTGCAACTTTTGATTCACCCGGCAAATAGGGAAGATGGACTGGTGGTGCTTGACCATAAACTGCTTCAAATGGACTGAGTTGTGTGGCAGAATGAAATGTGGTATTATACCAAAACTCAGCCAAGGGAAGCCAATTACTCCAGAGATGAGGCTTGTCACTGCACATACAACGCAAATATGTCTCCAAGCAACGATTGACGACCTCCGTTTGGCCATCACTCTGAGGGTGGTAAGCACTAGAAAACTTCAGTTCCACTCCTTGCAACGCAAACAGCTCAGTCCAAAATGTGCTGAGAAACACAGTGTCTCTGTCGCTAACAATTGACTTTGGGCAACCATGAAGCTTAAAAACATTATCCATGAACACTTGAGAGACAGACACGGCTGTGTATGGGTGAGCTAATGCCATAAAATGTGCTGCCTTAGTTAAGCGGTCAACAACGACGAAGATAACAGTTTTACCTGAGGAAGGAGGTAAACCATCAATGAAATCCATGGAAATGTCTGTCCAAATGGTATCAGGAATAGGTAGAGGTTGCAGTAGCCCTGGGTAAGCAGTTGTATCATACTTGCACTGTTGACACACTCCACAACTGCGTATATAATTCTGAATATCCACTGCCATTCCCTTCCAGTAAAAGAGGCCTTTAACTTTTTGATAGGTAGCGTCTCTCCCTGAATGGCCACCACTTCCCGAGCAATGCATCCACTGTAAGATAGAATTCTTTAACTCAGCATCATTTGGAACCACAATCTTGCTTTTTCTTCTGAGCACAGACTGAGCCCAAGAGTAATGTTTTCTTGATGCAGGGTCCCCTTTTAAAGATGAGATCAATGACTGCAAATCTGGATCCGTATCATAGTGTTTTTGAATATCCTTTAAAAGATCACACTCCAACACCGACATTGCCATATGTAAAACTTCTGCTCCTTCAACTCGAGACAAAGCATCTGCCGCCACATTCTCTTTTCCTTGTCGATACTGTATTTCATAATCAAACTCAAGTAATTTAGGTAACCACTGTTGTTGTATAGGAGTGTTTAACCTTTGCTCCAGTAGATACTTGAGGCTTCTCTGGTCCGTCTTAATGACAAAATGATTAGGTAACAAGTAGTGTCGCCATTTTTGAACCGCAAATACCACTGCAAGAAGCTCCTTTTCATAAATAGACAGGTTGAGTTGTTTCCCCTTCAAATGGCGGCTAATATAAGCCAGGGGGTGACCCTCCTGCATAAGAACTGCACCAATCCCCTGAGTACACGCATCTGTTTCCACCACAAAAGGCTTATCAAAGAGTGGTAAAGCCAAAACAGGAGCATTACACAAAGCAGATTTCAACACTTTAAAAGCTTCTAGTGCTTCAGAAGACCACTCAAACGCATCCTTCTTAGTCAATAAGGTTAATGGTCTAGCAATAGAACCAAAGTTCTTAACAAACCTCCTGTAATAACCTGCTAGCCCCAAAAACCCTCTCAATTGTTTCAATGTTTGGGGAATAGGCCAATCTGCAACGGCCTGAATTTTGGTAGGATCCGTTGAAACTCCTGCAGCCGTGATATAATGTCCCAAATACTCCACACGGTCAGTAGCAAAAGCACACTTACTCTCCTTAGCAAACAAACTGTGTTCACGCATAGTCTGAAAGACTAACTTCAAGTGTTGGACATGTTCTGCTTGAGAAACACTGTATATAAGAATATCATCAAAAAATATGAGCACAAACTTCCTCAAAAATTTCCTGAACACATCATTCATCAGTCCTTGGAAAGAAGCAGGTGCATTAGTTAGCCCAAAGGGCATAACTACATACTCAAAATGTCCACAGTGAGTCTTGAAAGCAGTTTTAAAGATATCAGCAGGATCCATTCTCACTTGATGATAACCCGCACGAAGATCAATCTTTGAAAACACTGCAGCCCCTCCCAACTCGTCCATAAGATCCTCTATCAATGGAATGGGAAATCTATCTTTTATAGTTACCCCATTTAGTCCACGATAATCAACACATAGCCTCCAAGTACCATCCTTCTTTTTGACCAACACCACAGGTGAAGCATAAGGGCTAGAGCTTGGCTGGATGATTCCTTTGGTCAGCATCTCCTCCACCATTTTATCAATTTCATTTTTTTGATGAACTGCATATCTGTATGGGCGTTGGTTAATAGGGTCTGAACCCTCTTTAACAGGGATCTTGTGGTTATGATTAGCTCTGAAAGGTGGTAGTGCCTTTGGTTCAGCAAAAATATCAGAAAACTCCTCCTGTAGTTGTCTAATGTCTGCAGAATTCTGTTGACTACCAGCATTTCCTTCTAGTGCACAGACTTGCCAATTGCTCTCTTCTTCCACATTGTGAGCATAGATCATAGCAATCTGTACTTGGCTCTCCTGTTGTTGATTAAGTTTAATAGTTTTCACTGCCCGCACTGAGCCTTGCTTGATACCATGGAGGAGAACCTTCTTATTACCTGACACAAAACTCATTTCCAACTTCTTTAGATTCCATGTTATATCACCCAGGGTTACTAACCATTGTACCCCTAACACCACATCACAATTTCCCAGTGGAATAACCATGAAATCCGCTTGAAAGTTGGTACCATGAAACTGCCATTGAAACTTATCAACCTTCCCTCGTACTCCAAGTTGGCTACCATCAGCCACTGACACTGAGGTGCAACCTGCAGGTCTCAACTTAACTCCCAACATCTCTGCAGTTTTAGGATCCATGAAATTATGTGTTGAACCAGTGTCAAGTAAGACAAATATTACTCTTTTCCCATGGCTTCCTCTCACTTTCATTGTGGTATAATCTGCAACCCCGGATACAGCACTGACTGAAGCATGAGGCCTATTGTTCTCTTCATGAACGACCACTTGCTGTTCAGTAACCATTTCCCTGTCAGATTCCTCCACTTCCTCTTCGACTTCGAGCATGTAAATTTGTGTTTTCTTGTGTTTTAGATAATGGTCAGGTGTATATTTCTCATCACATTGAAAACATAAGCCCTTGGCTCTTCTCATACTCATTTCTTCTTGTGATAGCAACTTTCTGGCAGGTTGTCTGCCCACAGTGGTAGGTGTTGTATCACTGGACTGTGTTGGTTGAGGAGAACTCTCTTTCTTTACTCCTTGAAACCCTTTGCCCAAGGAACTATTACCCGAGTTCCTCACACTGTTCCAAGTGTTGGCATTGGATTTAGGCTGTGGATGAGCCTTCTCATATAGCTTCCCCAAAGTCAAACATTGCTTCACCGTCTGTGGCTCAAACATTCTGATGTGCATTTGTGTATCCAAACGTAACCCTGCCAAATAAGCACTCACCAAATAATCTTCTGAAAGGGCCAACCTATTTTTTATAAGTTCAAACCGTTCATGATACTCCAGGATACCATTAGTTTCTTGCAACTGTTTAAGCTCAGCTACAGGATCCTCTAAAGTATCTTCAAACCTCTCCAAAATCTCAAGTTTATAATTATGCCAGTCTCTTAAGATACGTCGATTGCCTGGTGTGGAGACTAACGACCTGTGCCACGTGGCTGCACGACCATCGAAATGTATCGCCGCCAGCTGAACCTTCAACTCCGGTGGAGTATGATCCACAGAGAAAAACTCCTCCACCTGAAACAACCAGTCACGTATACGATCTCCGTCAAACCGAGGAAAGGACACTTTCCCCATCCTTGTAATACCTGCGTAACCCGATTGCAAACCCGATCTACTTCTCCCATACGGATCTGAATCATCGTCACAGGTTTCCGGCGCCGCCGATACTGCCGGGTAATTTCTTCCCATACTTTGTTTTCCGCTTGATGATCCTTGATGTTTAGGAATCATCTTAATCATGTCAAACATATCGGCAATGTCTTGACCCATTTTCTTATTCTGCTCCGCCATCGACAGCTCAAGAGCTTGAGTACGACTGATCACCTGTTCCAAACGTGCTCCGATGGCGTCTTCCTCACCGCGAACCAACTCCGATGCATCATCAGCCTCCTGATCCTCTTGTAACTTACGAGCTCTCGTCTCAGTCACCATGATTTCCGAGGACGATTAGCTCTGATACCAGTGATAACGAAAACAGAGTGAATAGATGAAATAAGAACAGAGTAACGAAACAGAGTATTTCGATTAATATGATAACTTGATACAACGTTCATAAAACGCGATATCAACTTCTCACCTGCAAGAGTCTCGATGAGAGAAGCTCCGGCAAAACGATGAGGAAAAGTTCTAGAAGTTTCCAGAGAGGATAACAACCAGAAATATTAGCGTAAAAAGCATGAGCATAACATGTTGCTCTTATATACTAAAAAGGTGGTGAAAGTAAACGTTAACAACGTTAGTAACGATCTCCGTTAACGCCAAGTTGCATTTGCCAGCTCATAAACACACACGTGCCCTTCTTCTTATCCCCGACTTCACATGTGCGAGCTGACCTTCTAGAACGCTATATCAATCGAAAGGGATCGGATCTAGCTTCTCTTTCTGATCGTCCTCGCGCTTGATGGCAGTTCCCAACAAAACCAGGGATTCGACTCGGCAAAGGAGTTTCTTTTGGTGTGTCTTCATCAGAAACTTCGCAGGCAACCTACTCAGCTTTAAATCGAGATGGATCGGTTCTAAGCTGCTGCAGCACCTGTCCTTCGCAGCTTCTTCCCTCGATTTGGAGAAGATAGTAGGGGGCGGGGGGATATCAGAGAGAATTGCATTTTAAGAACTTAATTCAAAGTAAACCGGTCGGTACAAATCGGTTAACAAGCTACTATGTTAAAAAAGTAAATAACCTAGCCGCTTAAAACCTCATTTGGAACCCAAATAAGCAGTATCGGAAAAATATGCTGCTCCGGTCATTTCGCACCGTCGAGCTTCTCCGCCGAATCTCAACTTCTTCATCAGTCTCTGGATATCGCACTTCTCCTTCAGTCTTACAACGTTACAATGGCGTTTTACCACACAGAGTAACAACAGAGAGTCCTTTCCCTTCTCATATCTTTCGATTCTGTTATTCTCTGAGCGTGAATTCGCAAAATGAGAATCAACACACGACTCTATCAGCACCGGTTTCTTCACGAAGGGTTAAAAACAGAAAGATTTCACGGCGGAGGAAGGCGGGAAAATCACCATCAATCTCGCCGGCGGCGGATGCGGTTGATTTGGCGTTAGACTCGGTGGTGAAGATCTTCACTGTTTCTACAAGTCCTAGTTACTTTCTTCCTTGGCAGAATAAGTCTCAACGAGAATCCATGGGCTCTGGTATCACTCTTTCTCTTTTCGAAATCCAACTGTTTTCTAAGGGTTCGAATAGTTGTGGCAGTTAGGGCGGACAAATCCGTTTGCGGTTCGGACTACTTTTTATTTACTATTCATAAACTATAATCCGTAGTAGTGCGGATTGAAAAAAATAGAATAAGTCGGCAACGCACTAACTACGGCCCGCTTTTACGTAGAAATAAAGTGGTCTAGTCCGCTAACGGTTTAGTCCGTCCACAATGTCCATCCAAAGCCTTAAATTGCCAAATTCAGGCTTATATTGTTGATTAGTAGAGTCTGGTTATGAATTGTTGTTTGGTATTGATGTAGGATTTGTGATTTCGGGAAGAAAGATTATAACGAATGCGCATGTGGTGGCTGATCACTCCTTTGTACTTGTTAGAAAGCATGGATCGTCGATAAAACACAGAGCAGAAGTTCAAGCGGTTGGTCATGAATGTGATTTGGCAATCTTGGTAGTTGATAGTGAAGTGTTTTGGGAAGGTATGAATTCGTTGGAGCTCGGAGATATACCGTTTCTGCAGGAAGCTGTGGCTGTAGTTGGCTATCCTCAAGGTAATTTCTGATGTTATTTGATTGCATACATATTAGGTAACTAGAGAAATAAGTAAAGTGTAGATGTATGAAAGAATGGCTTAAGCTCTAGGCTTAATGCAATTTTCATCTTCAGATGCTCGCGTTGTATGTACCTTGGCCACTAGCTCTAAAAGCGTAGAATCGTAGGTGGAGATATGATTTCTATCATGACCAGTCGTTGGTCTGCTTCTAAACATGTAAATCTATTGTGGTGCATTTTAAAGATAAAGCTTTTCTGTTATCTACATTTGTATGATGATTGATGAGCAAATTTATTATGTTTTGGCTTTTAGGTTTATTCAAATCTTTCTATGGCTTCACATTCGTAGAGTTTTTTTCAGGGAAAGCAAAATAGTTGGAATGTGCATTGTCATGAATATTTATGATGTTTGGCTTAAAGGGTTCCAATTTTATGGTTAAGACAATCTGAAAAAAAAATAAAAAATTGGCTTTGAGTTTTAAATGTTATGCGTTCTAATGCAGGTGGTGACAACATCTCTGTTACAAAAGGTGTTGTGTCTCGAGTTGAACCGACACAATATGTTCACGGCGCTACCCAGCTAATGGCTATACAAATAGATGCTGCTATTAACCCCGGAAATAGTGGTGGCCCAGCAATCATGGGAAACAAAGTAGCTGGCGTAGCGTTTCAAAATCTTTCAGGTGCTGAGAACATTGGGTGAGTCGCCATTGTGAATTAAATATATATCTTGATATCTTAACTTATATATGTAACATGAGTTTATTTGTCACTCTCGGAATGATGTATGAATTACTGCTGTCTTGAGATATCTCCCAAGTTTGATACTCTAATCATGGTTTGTAGTATGCATTATAATTGAGTACGTGTCTTGACAAGCCAATGTTTAATTGAATATTATTATTTCATGGTTTCAAACTGCAGCTATATAATTCCAACACCAGTGATTAAGCATTTCATAAATGGTGTTGAAGAATGTGGTAAATACATTGGTTTCTGTTCAATGGGTGTATCATGTCAGCCTATGGAGAATGGTGAACTTCGTAGTGGATTTCAGATGAGTTCTGAAATGACAGGGGTTCTTGTTAGCAAAATAAACCCTCTATCAGATGCTCACAAAATTTTGAAGAAAGATGATGTTATTCTTGCATTTGATGGTGTTCCTATAGCAAATGATGGAACAGGTATATTTTCCTTTATTTCTATGAACCTTAGTGCTGAAATTTTTGCCTATTTTTGTTGGTGAAGTTTGTTTTGATGTATTGCAGTTCCTTTTCGGAACAGGGAGCGAATCACTTTCGATTATTTGGTTTCTATGAAGAAACCAGATGAAACAGCCTTGGTTAAAGTCTTGAGGGAGGGAAAGGAACATGAGTTCAGTATCACACTAAGACCTGTAAGTCATTTGGTCTGACCTTTAAAGATATTACTTACTAAATCACTGTATGTAGTTTACTCGCTGGTTCATATTCCATATCAAAAATGGACAATCATCTTTTCTTCTGAGCTTAATAGTTTTGTGTTCTATGCAGCTGCAACCACTGGTTCCGGTGCATCAATTTGATCAGCTTCCCAGTTATTATATATTTGCGGGCTTCGTATTTGTACCTCTCACTCAGCCATACCTTCATGAATATGGAGAAGATTGGTATAACACTTCTCCCCGCACATTGTGCCAGCGTGCATTGAAAGATTTGCCCAAAAAAGCCGGTCAACAACTTGTCATTGTCTCTCAGGTTTGTGCTTTCTTTTCTCTAGTTTCTTTTCCTTTAAGTCTTGTTAGAAAGATCAAAAATCACGTGAGCTACAATGATAATAAGTACTTACCGATGACCGGATTTTATCTGTTTCCTAAACAACGGAAGCCTGCTTTGGAGCTTTTGAATGTCCTGCAAATATAACAGCAATGGTGTCTCGCCATTTATCTATCACACTGATAACTTAATCTCTGGTTATAGGTGTTAATGGATGATATCAACACAGGATACGAGCGTCTCGCAGAGCTACAAGTAAGTAAAAGCTAATCATAAACCTCATTGTCATTATTGCAAAATGCTCCTGACCCTTTTGTCATCGATTCTTCTCAACATGGCATACATTTAGGAAATCAGCAATTAAAATAACCAACTGAACATAACAGAACACCATATGATTCTAATAACAGCACGAATGAAATGCAAAATCTTGACTTGTCTATAACTTAGACATGATATAGTGTCTTGAGAGACTGACATATAAACTGTTTTTCTGTGAAAACAGGTGAATAAAGTGAACGGAGTAGAAGTGGATAATCTGAGACATCTATGTCAGCTCATAGAAAACTGCAACACCGAGAAGCTGAGGATAGACTTAGACGATGAGAGTAGGGTAATCGTATTGAACTACCAATCCGCAAAAATTGCCACTTCTTTGATTTTGAAACGACACAGAATAGCATCTGCGATTTCCAGCGATCTACTGGTAGAACAAAATCCAGAAACCGAGTTGGCTTCTTGTTCTGCGGTGTGAGCTAACGCCTACACATATGGCATGTTGTACACTTCAAATTCATTCGTAATTTGTAAACAACAATATTGTATACTCATAAACATTTTGCATTTGATAAGCGGCTTTTCAGGAGCCTAAAATTTTGAAACTTATTTATAGAAAAATTACTTTGCTCCAAAAATATTATTTTCTCCATTTCTAAGTTACGGATTATGTCGGGTTGTTCTCAAACGTTAATAGCTCACTTGGTCGACGATAATTTCGAAATTCGAGTTTTTACATGAAATAATTTATAATTAAAAATATATAATAAAGTTTTGAACTTTGTAATTAAAAAGAAGAATTATATATTTTGGTAATGTAAGCTCGATATATCATGCTTTATAGGTGATTTATTTTAGATATTTGAAGATCCAAAAACGAGTATTAATTTTTTTAAAAAAATACTTGACTTTTTTGGCTTTTCACCATATAGTTGTGTCTCGTCTCTTGATAAGCTCGTTTAGTGAGGATGTGTAAAAGAGATTAGTTAAAAAAAAGAATGGTTTATTGACCAGTTTCCACGGGCTTTCGATAACCGGCTTGTGGAGGTGCCCATTCAGTCGTTTGTTATGCTTCTTAGACAGATTCATAATTCATAAATGCAAATAAACCAAAAGAAGACGATAAAAATGTGTGTACACACACACCTAAAAAATAATTGACCCCAAATTCGGTTAATGCATAGGAAACTAGAAGGAAAAATGTTTGCCAGCTACGCGAAAGATACACCATCACATAGTCACACATGCAGACTTTAAAAATGTCTCGTTAGCTACACGAAGTATTGACATTACCTACGGACATCCCCGAACTAACATAAGTCATGTTGCAAACACCATAACCATCTAATTCCAGTGATTCTGTTGCTGGAATCCGGCATTGACCACCATTGACCGGCGTTGACCGATGTTGACCAAAAAAAATTTCAAATTTTTTGTCTCTTTTATTTCATTGCAAATGAGTCTGACTCTTTATTCACCAAAAAAAAAAGAGTCTGACTCTTTTTGTCGTTTTCCCCTTTCATTACTATCTCTTGTCCCAATGAAATAAAAGGGACCAAAACAAAAAAACACAAATCCCTTTCCGTGTCTTAAGCGAACTGTCACATCCGTACGTGCATCGTATAAAGACGAAAATACCCTCCAACTACACTCATCACTCTCTAATTACTCTCTTTGGTTTCTTTCTCGGGCAGTGAAAGAATTGAAGAAAGGAAGCCTTTCTTGAGAAGATGACTTCGTCGTCGTCGTGGGAGATGCAACTAATGGAAACGGCTAAAGAGGAGTTGGAGATTCTTCAGTCTCAATATCCCAACCGCTTTGCTTACCTCAAATCTGATCTTCAATCTTTCATTTCTCACCTCCGTGAAGATCACGCGCCGCCGCGTCCCTCCTCCTCCTCCTCTGTCGTTCTTACTCAAGGTACTCTCAGTTTATGTGTCTTTTAGTTTGTTCTTGTGTTCCTATGTACTGATGCTTAAATAAGTAATTTACTCAAATCTTTTTTTTTGCATATTAAAGATTTTTTTTTTTTTTTAACATTGTTTGTCAGATTATTATATTTCACATTTGTAATAATCGATTGAGTTTCCAATTGCCTAAATTCAATTGATTTTGACATCACGTCTTAATGAAATCTCGACATGATTATCAAATAAAAAAAATAAAATAAAAAATCGACATGACAGAAATAGATAACTTTCATCATTTTAGACCTTTCTATTTGCTTTCGGTTATCTAGAAATCTTTACTTTGTTCATGTTGAAAGATATCATATGGTCCCAATCACATTTATCATGATCATCATTTATCAAAACATGAAAGTTTTGGTCTTGGATTTTAGAAACAACATTTGGTTTTTTCAAAGTGTTTTAATTTTCTATAAAAAAACTTTAATAGTTATTAATATTATACCATAAAGGTTCCAAACTGAAGAATCATTTGACTAGATTCAGTATTTAAATCTCAGTTATGTCCGGTATACCCATAGCCTACAATTTTAAAATATATAAATTGACATTAAGTTTTTTGTTGATGTATTGGACAGAGTCATCAAATTGTAAGAATAAGCAAAAACATAAGAAGAGAAAAAGCGTCATGGACAATTTTGGAGATCAAGCATCGTCATCAACAATTGGAAAGATCCACAAGAACAATAACAAGATAGGTCAGAGAGTGGTCACCAAGAGAAAAAATAGAGTTGAAATGGTTCTTGAGAGGGCTCAACTTTGTCTCCAAAAGATAAGAGACGTGAAAGCCTCTTTGTGTTGACCTTTTTTTTTACAATTTTTTTTGGTTCAAATGTATAAGGAAAGATTACCGTCCGAGAAATGTTTTGCAAGTGATGATGAAAAGTAAAATGCTTCTCGAAAGGTGTAGACAGTTCAACAATATATAGGGATGTCAAAATGGGTTAATATCCATGGGTTACCCGAACCCGTCCATGATTTTAGTGGGTTTGGGTATAATTTTTTTACCCATATATATAAATGGGTTGTAGTGGGTTACCCTATTAGGGTTATGAGTTTAATGGGTAAAACCCATTAGGGTCATGGGTTACCCGTGGGTTTCATAATCAAAACTAAAAAGTAAAATTTATATATATCTATATTAATATATTATGTAAAATTTATATAAATATATGTAAAATATCTTCTTTTCTTTACAACTATATATGTAAAATATCTAAAATAACTATTAAAGTTTACATTTTACCTAAAAATAAAAGTAAAAAGTAAAATATATGTATAATAATTTTTTTCCTAAACGTGTTCAAGCTTTACTTTGTACTAGATCTTGGTTATTTGGTTATGCAGATGATGAAAAAGGTATATTATCATCTATATCAATATTTTGTTATTGTTATTATTATAGCCAAGGTTCTAATATTTTTTCCAACTCGTTTGTAGACAATAAAGCCGAAGATGAAGAATGAGGCCGAAGAATTCGATGCGGGAGAATCGGATGCATCTAAAGAAGATTCAAATGTTCTTTAAATTAAGACTATTTTTTCTTTTTTTATTTGGTTTTATGGTTCTTTGGATTTGTGGTTTTAAGATTTTAGGATGCTTTTCTATTTTAATATCTAGATTTTTTTTAATTTATTATTTAAAAACTTTTGTTGGTTTACAATTTTATGTTATTTTTTTGGATTTTTATTATTTATATATTTTATTATACATATATATGGGTACCCATATAACCCACTAAGCCAATGGATTTATATAATAATGGGTTTGGGTATGTAAATTCAACCCATATAAATATATGGGTCGGATCAAACCCGTCCATTAAACACTCGAACCCATATGGGTTTGGGCCGGGTCGGGTCGGGTTACCCATTTTGACACCCCTAACAATATATCTGTCTTTTTGGTAAATGAGAAAGACTTTCATTTTTGAGTGTTATTCGTATTATACTTGTTACTGGACTAAACAAATCGGATAATAAGTATCAAAAGTTCAATACTCGCTAGTACAAGTCAAGTACTAAATTATATATATGAAAGTTGGTCAACTCTCTCCATATGAATGTCACTCAATATCCTCTATTTTTGCAAAGCAAGCAGCTGTCTGTGGAACCATCATTGTTCACGCTAGGTAAGATTTAATTGTTTTTTTTTTTTTATTGTTTTCTCATTGTAAGATGTTCATAAAGACTTGTTTATTTTCATAGGAGTGTATTTTATCAGGCGCCGTATTCTTCCAATTCTTCCAATTGTTGCGGGCACCACATACTTCGTCTCTTCCTACTTCCATGTACAATTTCTGAGATGGTCACATCATCACACAAGAAAATGATATGTGTCATTCTAGATTCTTTTTTAAAAAAATTAAACAAATTAAATGAGAAAAAAATAAAAATTCTTTATTGCATTAAATCCTCCATCAATTCTACTCTTAAGTGATTTATTCAAAAAAAATTTAAAAATACAAAATTATGTTAATAAAAAGTACTACTTTCATTATACTCTTATTTTATTAAAAAAAAAAGTTATGAATGGTCACCATTCGGTAGTGACTGAAACTTTTATTTTTTTGTTGTAATTTACTTGTTTGCTACCTAAACTCTTATTAGTTTAGTAATTTTAACTTGAGTCTTTCTCACTATTACAACAAGCATCAAGACAGACATGACAGAAAGTTATTAATCTGGATTCTTACCTTGAGGAATTTCGATGGATAGAACCATCAAGTACATACAATAATTGCGATGTCTTCGGATTTGGTCTTACCATTTGCCCGGTCAAAGAGGAAAACGATGCTGATGCTGATTTTGATAATGTAGAATGTTTTATGAACTACAAGGTACTTAAGCTTACTGATTATCAGTCACCCGAGTATGATAAGAATATATGTAAAAAGAGAAACCACCAAATAAGGTGTGGTTTGCGACTATTAATTATTGTTCTACTCACTTAATTTTAGTTTTTCAGATTTTAATTAATATTGAAAGATATATATTGTGGACCACATGCGGTACAAAACAAATTCCGTACATATAGGTATAAGGCTTATCCAAAGGTATGTTTTGTACAAATGTATCAATTTGACATCTTACTTTATTATTGCTTTCCTCCACTAATACAAAAATAATTGTATAGCCCAAACAAATACAAGACTCTCTCTCACTGTCATATACATATACACACTCTCAAATTCACAGTCAATTTCCCTCGAACATATAAAAGGTATATAATTTTTGTTAGTTTTTAATTGATTTTAGATTTTTGAATATTAACTTCTATCTCTATACATAAATATGAATGATAAATTTTTTAATCGATGTCATGCTTCACTACGTTCTGTTATCGAAAGAACCTTTGTGATTTTTGAAGATATAGTATTCACGTTCAATAGAGAATGGCAATGACGACAATAGGATTACACAATTTCATCAAGATTTCAACAATCCTTCTTATGGTCGTACTCATATACACTCTCAAATTTACAGTCACTTTTCTTCAAACATATAAAACCTATATAATTTTTGTTAGTTCTTAATTAATTTTAGATTTTTGAATATTTAACTTCTATCTCTATACATGAATATGAATAGTAAATTGTTTAATCGATGTCATGCTCCACTACGTTATATTATCGAGAGGACCTTTGGAGTTTGGAAGAAAAAAAAAGAGGATTTTTTTTTTTTTCTAAAATAGAGTATTCATGTTCAAAGAAAATGGTAATGACGACAATCGATCATACGCAATTAATTCGGAAATCAATATATAGAATTAGTTATTATTAACTACAATTTAAAATATATACAATCAAATTTTTAAATTGACTCGAATTATATGTCTATTAAATAAATTATTATTAAAAATAATATAATGATGTTTAATTTCACAGGACAGGGTTATATGGTGGGACGAGTTTGGAACGATATTAATACGGGGCGGTATATATATCACGAAAAATACTTGGGTTCACCCCTAAGGGTGAACCTCTTATGTTCACCCCCTTTATTTCATCCAATCAAAATCTGCCATCTAATAATAATAAAAAAAATTTATTTAATTATAAAATTTAATTTGCATTATAACGAAATTATGTATCCGTTTAGATTTATTAGAAAGGGTTAGGGTTTAGATTTTATGATTAAACGATTTTAACTATCGGGTTGGGTTTATAAACGGTTTAGATTTTACAATTAAACGAGGTTAAATGTCGGTTTGGGTTTAGAAAGTACGATTAGGGTTTAGATTTTTTACGATTAAACGAGTTTAAATGACGGTTTGGGTTTACAAAGGAGATTTAGGATTTAGATTTTATAATTAAACGAGATTATATATCGGTTTGAGTTTATAAAAGAGTGGTTATGACTTAATTTTATTGTTTTATTTAGAAATTATTAATTGTTTTAATTTTTTTAACTTGATGATAATTAAGAGGGGGTGAATGAAAGTGGTTCACCCCTAGGGGTGAACCCAAGAATTGTTCATATATCACGGATGAAATCCTAAAATTAATAATCAAAGTTTAATTATACAATCTTAACCACTTAACAAAATAAATAATATTAAAAAAATACAACTTAAAATTTATTCTTTTAGTTAAAAGAATCGATCTGCGGTATACCGCGGGGTAAAATCTAGTATATACATTTAATTAGAAAAAGTTACTGAATATTTATTCGCTTGAATTAAAGAAATTCATTAACATGAAATCAAAATAATTTTGTAATAGTAAAAATGATATAAAAAAAATTATACCAAACCGACTATGAATTTAGGTTAATAAGTTTTTATTTGGTTCGATCATACAAGTTTAGAATTCGGCCCATTTTAAATCCAAAACCGGAAATATTAGAACAATTTCGAACAAAAAAAACATAATGTACTAACTCATAAATTTTTGTAGTTTACATAACAATTTCTAATGGCAAAAAATTGATTAACTTCCAGATCACAAAAAACAAAAAAACTCAATTTCTTGGAAAAGAAATCTTAAACTCGAATTTTGAAAATTTATTTTACAAAGTAAGTTGTTTTATT